TGGGCTTTAAAACTCAAAGCAGCCAAAACATTTTTTAGTTTTGGACAGAATGGAGATGGGTTCAAGCCTGCATTTAAACCAGAAAAACAACACAGGTTTAAATGAATTGCACATGGAGTTGTAGTGCTGGTCCTGGTTATATTCACTAGCTACACAAGTTACCCAGTACAAAGTCAAACTCACTGTAAGCATATATGCCCCAACGAAAGGGGATTTTAAACCCACGCAACGCGCTGGCTTTTGTTTGATATGTCATGATTAATAACATTACTAAAATGCCCAGAATAAATACAAAGTTTCGATTCCCTATAGACTTGAATTGGATTTGCCACAGTGATTGCAAACTTTAGAAAGCACGATTTGTGCACCTAGGCAGATTCAACCTGTCTATAACAAGTAGAAATATTTAAGATCTAAATGATGCTTAACCATAAGGGTAGAAGCACCTATACAGCTGTAAGACTGAATCCGAGTAGTGTATTTCATTTCATAAGCTTTGTCTGTACTCAATTACCTTTATAAAAGAACATTGGCCCAGTTAAAAAAAACAAACAACATACTGCTTCAGAATGAGGAACTGTGCATTAGTCTTTAGTCAGAATGAGGAACTGTAAACATTACTAAGCATAACTAATGAAAGCTATTACTTTGTTTCCTTCAAAAGGGAGAGCAGATATATGCAAATCCAGACTACACCAGTAGACACATTTTATGCCCATTTCTCCACTAAATTACAGTATGTTGATTAATGGTGTTGTTCATACAGGAGCAGAACAGGGAAAGCGCCCACTGTATCAATTAAACCAAGCTTAAAACTTAGTTAAATTCTACTCAACCAGTTCTGCATGTGTACCTGGAAGTCATGAAAATACAGGGATAATTCTTTCACAAAGTCTTCTATTTTTAACTATCAATATAGTGAATGACTGTTGACTTTTTTATACAAATATTTCTTGCTAACATTTTAATTGTGCTATCCTACATAAAATGACAGCACTTCGTTAACAGAGGTAGCAGTCGCATGATGAAATGTCCTTCCAGAATGGCTGATGTGCACAGAACAGGTAATATATGTATGGGTTTGTATACATACCAGATGTCGGAGAGCCAGTTTTGCACTAGAATTTGAACTGTCACCCCAGAACATCATGTAACCCTTATTGTATGAACATTTCATGAGCTCAATAGATCATATCTCCCAGTGAAATCTAATATGTGGGAACAAACTAACCTCAACACAAACAGCCCACATCGACTTACAAGCACAAGTCAGAGCTAAATCCAAACACTGCATATTTGACATAGTTTCCTTCTAAGGTGAAATCACCCTTCTTAGAGGCTCAGTAGAAGCTTCACCATATACAATTATTGTAACAATAGCCTGCACTGTCTACCTGCAGTTAGTTCACCTAATGAGGCTTGATTATCAATATGGTAAGTTCAATTACTGAATGGCCATTGAAGACTACCACTTTATCTTGCTGTATGTCAGAGCAGATAACACAGAGTCACCAACAATGTGGGGTGGCTAGTTCTTGTTAGCTCGTCAACGAAAATATTGTCCCTGGGATTAAATGTTCTTTAAATGTTTCAGCTGCAAACAGTCAACTTACTTCCGTATCTGACTCTGCTACAAGAGAAATTTAACTACGTATCTCATCATCAATTTGTTTCACATAGCGTAACCTTCCATGTGCTAATGTGGTTACAAAAGAAATACTAAAGACAAAACGTTTATCAAGATGAGTGCTGAATAGTGATGGGGCAAACACCCCCCTGCTCGGCTCGAATTGGAACTTTCGACCATGAGGAAAGTTCGTATTCGAACTCAAACTCAATGCAAGTCTATGGGGGTAGAACATTGAAAATCAAATGTCCCCATTTTGAAGCCTTATATGCAATTTATTGACCATAAAAGGTCTGTGAGGATCCGGGTACTGCCCTGGGGGACATAAATCAATGAAAGAAAAACTTTTGAAAAATACAGTTTTTAAAGGAGCAGTGATTTTAACATTGCTTAAAGGGTAACAATAAAAATGAAAAATTCCTTTAAATATCGTGCATGAGGGGTTCCCTTAAACTGCCTGTAAATTGGCAAATCTGTACGATGTATAGAACCTGCTGCAGCAAAACTGACATTTCTAAAGACATTTTTTATTTTTATTTTTAAAGCGCGCAGTTCCCCTTACCAAACAATACCAGACCCTTTAGGTCTGGTAGGCATGTTAGGAGGAACCACATTTAAAAAAAAAAAGGCATGGGGTTCCCCCCAAAAGTCATACCAGACCCTTAAGGAGGGACCCCATATATAAAAAAAGTGCGTGGGGTTCCCCCTTAGAGTCATACCAGGCCCTTAAGCTCTGGTAGGAATTTTAAGGAAAAACCCCATCCCCCAAAATGGGGAAATAAAATTTGGGGTCCCCCCTAAAATTCCATACCAGACCCTTGATCCAAGCATAGGCCTGGCAGGGCCGGAAAGGGGGGGGGGCACAAGCGAGCCCCTCCCTCCCATGCCAGGCCACTTGCCCTCGGCACTGGGAGGGTGCTTTTCCATGGTCTTCATGACTTTGCCCAATCATGGCTCTTACTATGTACTGAGCCCTGATTGGGCAAAGTCTTGCACCTGACATGTGGTCAGGTGCAAGCCTTTAGCCAATTAGGGCTTCACAAGGCGCATTGCCTTGTGGGGGGCGTTCAGCGGTCAAACAGACTGCCGAACACCCTTATAGTTCGAGTGTTCGGCGAACACATGAACTAGCGATGTTCGAGTCGAACTCGCATTCGACTCGAACATTGAGCCCAACACTAGTGCTGAAGCCCAGAGTTCCATTTTGTTTATTGTTTAGGTGCCCCTTGAATTAAAGTCAAGGCCAAAACATTTTTCTTAGCTTTTGATAGAGTCGGGAAGGATTAGAACCCCTGTCAGGTTAACGCTCCGTTAGAGCGATCTCCCCTGACTTTCTGTAGTGTTGACGTTTTACCAGACAGAAAGGGAGGAAGACACTCCAACAACACAATTACAGACAGATAAAAAAAAATCTTTTTTTTAGTAAAGTAGGGGAACACTATTAGCTCTGGGAGATTTTTATTTACATCTGTGTCCGTATTGCTGAATGTCTCTCATTTCGTCTCAGGTAAAACGTTTGAAAAAGTTTGCACTGAGCACTTTATCACAAAAAAACCCCTGATGAAGCCACACACGTGGCAAAACATGTTGGGCAAACTATAGGGCACTAAGAATTTAGTGGTGGGGTCCATGTGGTAAAAAGGAAAACTGAAAAAAGAGAAATTAGAACGTTTTATAATTACAAGTAAGGAACAAATATAGTCTCCATCCTGCATTGAAACCACTATAGAAATCGTGGTGGTGGTGGTGGTGGTGTGTAAATGGAGAAAGACCAATATGCAAATATATAGAAAGAAAATGATCTAATAGATATAGAAGGAGATGTAAAAATTATTGAAGTGGGTAAATTGTGGACAGAAGTTTTTCATTCTTTCTATATAAACCTGTTGTCAGCAGGACAGGAAGTGAGGAAAAATCTTTGTAATGGAGCCCCGGATGGCAGTAAAAAAACCATAAGGAATTGTTATCCTACACTTTCAAAAACATATACTTTACCGCCAATATATTTTTAACATACACTTTAACTCTAATAAAGATAGCTAGAGATGTTTCTTCTATTAAAGGAGACCTGTCATGAGAGCAATACAATAAAATGACATGTCTGGTTTACACCTTTGCATGTGCATTATTGTGCATTTTAATGCATTAATGTGCAATTACATGCATTTTCATTAATTTCAATAGACCCATCAACACATGTAAATGTATCTTTTTGTAAGCAACGCACTTTCAAACACCGCATATGTTTGAATAAGCACTGCCTGTAGTATAGTGTAAAATAAATTGTGCATGCAAAGCGCCATTGTTCTGAATGGCGCTTGTCCAGATATACATGATGGATCAATGCGTGCTGTTAAAATAATGGTACTTGTTTCTCCAACTTTTCTCCCACGTTGAGTAGCCCACTGAAATCAATGGAAGAACATGAAAATGCATGTGAAATACACATGGACCCATCCAAACACACAATAGTTTACTACAGGTGTACGTTTGTCACCTATTCATTAATGTCAAGATAAGCCACACTAATCAAATTTCTACATATATTTAGATGGACAGTCTGGTAGGAGATGTGTGCCTACTGTGCACCACATAAAGTGAAGCCAGATATTTTACAACCATATTAGCAAACTGGACTCTGAATCTTAAATCTTGAGTGCGGAGAATGAAAGGATTCAACCCATGCTTGCACAAGCTCTTTATGAATGTCCTCTTTAGGTAACATCAGGTACTTCCTGGTATAGTGCAATGCTCTTCTTCTGTCTCCTAATTGTGCTCCTGCAATGCCATCCTGTTACTTTGTACACACATTACACAGGCATGGTCCACTGTTGTCGCCATCAGAAAACCCACCCTAATTAATTATATGCAGTCATTGCTGGAGTGCATGCATGTAGACAGGAAGTACCTGCAGGAGATCAGCAACACCAGGATGCATCAAATTATATAAAAAGTGAAAACAATATATTTTTTATCTTTTTTTATAATAAACAACCCTTTAGCAAATTAAACATAATCCAGTTATGATTGACATCTGCTTAAAAAAGCCACTGCGGAAGCATGTTTGCAGCCACACTAACAGTACAGGAGAGGAAAGTGGAGAAGCAGTTGGGATTACACTTCCATTAGTCGTACCTTTGTGACTTCCGTCAGGTTTGACATATTCTGTCAATAAGCAGGGTGAAGATGTATCTATAATATTCTCATCCTTCCTTTTTTTCTACTAGTAAGATTAATTATTTATATTTAAATTTGCCACCAAAATTACTTTCCTAATATACAGTATCCTAGAACAGGATTCTGGTAGTCCTAGACAATATATTTTATTCTTTGATTTAAGACAATCAATCTACATAAGAGTTAAAAGTAGTACCTTGTTAACAGGAAAAGCATTCTTGACATTGAAATAGAAACCAAAATAAACCATATTGAAGACACCATGACGTCCCAAAGTGGCAGTAAGGCCTTTGTTCAGTCCTCTCAGGCCTAAGCCTTGTTTTTGGATGATATGCTGTGCCTGAGCAAAGGAAGATGGTTGCTGGAAGAAAATAAAAAACTTTATTATAGTCACATGGTTTATAATGTAGTACAGATTAGAAATGTAACACCTCTCACTGGAGGAGTTTTCATCAATGCAGATAAATAGGTGCAAAATACATATATGTGAACTATTTATCTTTCAAAGGATTTGTACTTCGGTTCCGTCTTTGTACTCAGGTACCCTATGGTAAGACAGCACGGTCAGATCCTAGACCCCTCTGTACATATATGCTTGTAGTTAGGCAATACAATCTGACCAAGGACCTGCCACAGCCTATAACTGTACAGTGAAGGAGCAGAAGCTCACGGATGAGATCATCATTCTGCTCCCCTATGAGCATGTTCACAGAAAGCACCGTGGAATTAAGTAAAACCTAGCCTGGTTTGTTGCGTTGATCCTCCCAGTGTAAGCATTGCTGTGTAAAGGATTACAGGATGCTAACAATAAGGTAAATTCAGGTAATTGTTTTTTTTTTATAAAAACATAATCAGACTAACATTTTTAATTTTTAATATTGGACTGCAGCTTAGCTTAAAGAGTAAAATATCAGGACATTCTTTTTCCATGTGTAGCCATAAAGAATAAACTGTATAAAGGGTGTCCCCAGCATAATTTCAAGCTAGTCAGCAACAAATAAATCTGTTTCAGCTACTCAGATTAAAAACAGAAGTTTTAGTTGCATACATTTGCAAACACATGTGCAAGCCACAATGCTGCATCAAGACACCTCTGATAGGTGTGGTCCCTAATTCCAATCTACCTGAGTTCCCAACGATTGGATATATATAACAATGCACAAACAGAGCAGGTTCATCTGAAGGCAGCCCCAACCTCCTTAGAGGTACAGCAACACACCAGAAGTCCAGGCATTGCCTTTACAGGGCAAATGAAGACTTCCAGTGTGTATCTGCACCAAATCCAATTGTTACCATTGCTGCTTTTTGGATTTTGGTGCAGACGCACACTGGAAGTCTTCAGCTGCTTTGTAAAATTAATATATGTGTTTCTGATGCGTTGCTGTACCTTCAAGGGTGAAAGGGTTGCCTTCAAATGAGCCTACTCTTTGTGCATTGCTATACAATATAAGTCCCATAGTTGAGACCACACTTATAACTAACTTACCCTGAGTAGTTATAACAGATGAGTAAGGTTTTTTTTCATGTTAGCATGAAGGCGTCTTGGGGACCCCCTTTGTATTGTTTTGTATATTACAAGGCCCATGTGCAACTTTTCTTTTTTGCTGGTTTTAAACAAATCAGAGCAGCTGCCACTGTTTTTATTTATAAAGACTAGGATGCCACCAAGATAGTTACTGTGACATTTCTAGCAATGTTTTCAAGAAGAATTTGGTGGCATGCATAATACAAATACAATGAAGTCTAACATTATTTTAGTGGGAAGAATATTTGGCAGTAAGGATGGAGCAGCTTACCAGCAAATAAATAGGTATGGAAAATGCCACCAAATAAAAGCTACAATTTACACAGCCTAAAAAGCTTGCTACTCAAGCAAAAGCAAAATACACCAAGCAGCCATAACATTATGACCAATAAGAGGTGAAGTGAATACGATTGATTTTCTCGTTACAGTGGCACCTGGAAGTGGGTGGGATAGATTAGGCAGCAAGGGAACATTTTGTCCCTGAAGTTGATGTGTTGGAAGCAGGAAAAATGGACAAGAGTAAGGATTTGATCGACTTTGACAAGGGCCAAATTGTGATGGCTAGATGACTGGGTCAAAGCAACTCCAAAACTGCAGCTCTTGTGTTATGCTCCCGGTCTGCAGGGACATTGATGCCCATGTAGTCTGATCAAACAGAAGAACTATTGTAGCTCAAAATTCTGAAAAAGTTAATGCTGGTTCTGATAGAAAGGTGTCTGAACACACAGCGCATTGCAGTTTGTGTATGAGGCTGTGTAGTCACAGACTGGTCAGAGTGCACATGCTAACCCCTGTCCACAAAAGTGCCTACATTGGGCAAGTGAACATCAGAACTGGACCACGGAGCAATGGAAGAAGGTGGCCTGATCTGATGAATTACATTTTCTTTTACATCAGGTGGATGGCCCGGTGCCTGTGTGTCGCTTACCTGGGGAAGGGATAGCACCCGGATGCACTATGGGAAGAAGGGAAGCCAGTGGAGGCAGTGTGTTGCATTGGACAATGTTCTGCCAGGAAACATTGGGTTCTGCCATTCATGTGGATGTTACTTACCACCTACCTAAACATTGTTGCTGACCAAGCACAACTGTTCATGGAAATGGTATTCTCTGATGGCAGTGACCTCTTTCAGCAGGATAATGCACCGTGCCACACTGCAAAAATGGTTTGAGGAACACAACGAGTTTGAGGTATTCACTCCAAATTCTCCACATTTCAATCCAATTGAGCATTTGGGAGATGTGCTGGAAAAACAAGTCTGGTCCATGGACGCCCCACCTTGCAACTTACAGGACTTAAAGGATCTGCTACTAATGGCTTGGTGCCAGATACCATAGCATACCTTTAGAGGTCTAGTGGAGTCCATGCCCCAATGGGTCAATGCTGTTTTGATAGCAAAAGGAGGGGTTACTCAATATTAGGCGGGTGATTATAATGTTATGGCTGATTGGCGTATAAGAATACTGAATTTCTGGTTATAGTCTTTGTTTAGTTTTCAAAAGGGCATCCATCAATATATCTTCAATAAAACCTACAGAATACCAGCTTCATCGCCCGTCATTCTGTCTTTTCCTGTCTGTCAACTGGCAAGAAGAGATTACACTAGAGCTTCTAAATAACAAAATAAACACAGCTAGTGTCACTCAATCCTCTATTGGGAAGTCACAACTCTAAGAGACAAATGAAATAATGTCAGTGAACCAGTATAAGCTTAATGCCAAGACAAGGAGCTCTAGATACTGCAGCTTATTTTTAGATAATGGGCTGTCAAAAGACATGGACCGATGTGTGCTTATATATCACTTTATCCGTTCCAGGTGTGTACGATCAGATCCACATCTACAAAGCATGGTGCTTTTGTACTAATACCAAAAGTGTGATTATTATCTTTATAATCTACTTAAAGCCAACTATTGAACCCTAATGATTTTCAAAGGGCTTTAAAAATTGTCCACTTTGATAACTTTTGTCTGACACCTATTCTGTGCATACCTTTTTCTTAGATACACTCACTAGCACAAACACTGTATTGTAGTAACAAAGTCGATGCTGTCAAGAAGTAGGACAGGAGGAATAAGAGCTACTCTTCAAGTGTTGAGCCTTTCCATTATTTTGGAAGAGTTGCCCTTCACAATATCTGCACTGATATAAAAGCCTATTGACAAATTATATGTGATGGACTCAGCACTCATTCTGTACTTCAGAATATCACTAAATGTGACACCAAGATTTTCTATAACCTTATGATCCTAAAGAAGCTTAATGGGAAGGTTTATCAGAACCAGAAGTAGGACTGGAACAGGAACAGAACTATGGAAGTACTACCTAAAAATAGGCAGGAAGAGGGCAAAGGACTAGTCACTAGCATTATCTATGGTCTCCCTGAATCAGAGCTTTGCCCATTACTGACTTACCATGACTTTCATGGTGTGTCTGTGTGGTCAATTTGGTAGAGGCAGAGCTTTTGCTTCCTCATGCTAGAGCCTCCTGTGGTGCTTACAAGAATAGTAAGCACCACAGGAGTGGCATCACCAAATCTCGCTGCATAGCTCCTGAGATTAGCAGTTGTAGGCAACAGTGTCATAGATTTTACATTACAGATATACAGCTATGAGGCTGTAAGAACAAGAGTGCCCAGGCACCCTCACATACCAGGAAGTATGCTGCAATTTCTTTGGGAGGAATTGTAGATAAAATGTAAATTTTTCATGCTGCAATTTAGGCATAATTAATATTTCTAAATGTTCCCTGTAACATATCAAATCTTCACTTTTTTAGTTCTTCAGTTCGGTTTAAGTGGTATGTGGACCAGGCATAACAGGTATAGGAGGCAGGGCTTATTATCGGCTTTCAAAAATACACTACACATGTATACACACAGGTATAATGTAGTCTTCACTTTTCAGTTATAGTGATCTTCTGGCAGAATGAGATGATCAGTGATGATCTGAACTATTTGTGTTGTCTGGATCACTGCAGTGCTGTAAGTGGGGTAATCAGAGGCCTTACAAAAACTATTGCCAGCAGTAATGTTAAACCATTGTAACAACAAAAATTCAGATACAAACTCCATTCTGCCATCCCTCATTTCTTGTGTAAAGATTTTCAGCCATTCTACCTATCCGGAAGCACTTCCATCTAACTTAAAGTTTCAATTTCTCTACTCCATTCCTTTTTGGTGGCAAGAAAACAAAAATACCCAGAATTTACAAATACGGAGGAGCATTTGACTCACTCCTCTACCTGTCATATGACATCGCTGGTGCATGGTGATTGGAATCTCAGGCACCAAACATTGTCCTAAAGGGCAGCCAAAGTGTATTCACTATGTGTAAGCTTTGAGTTTACATTGGTCTACTTTTTTTCCCTCCTTTCAGATGAATGGAGGTGCAGAGGAACAAAAAGAAAGTAAGTATGTCTAGCTTGTGAGTTTGGCAGTTAGGTGAGCCTGTTCCTTTGTCCTACATGGACATAGCACCGATTCACTTTATACAGATGCTTAAAGCACTGAGATCAGGGCATACCTCATAAACTAATGGTATATCAACATAATTCCCAACAAAATCACTCTACAGACTGAGCAAGGAATGATATGTTGTATCTTCTAATAACCAGTCAGAATTCAGTTAAAAAGACATAATGAAAGGGAGGACCAAATCTATGCGAAGAGTTACTGCTGGATTTACATTGCTACTTTAACTTTAAAAAAAGAAGTCAGTATGGTTATCCTTGCCTTGACAAAAAGTACCAATTATTTATCTTTGTAACATAATTGTGTCCATATTGCAAATCACTTTTGCTTATACCAACTTTCAAATATCATAGTCATGCAAAAC